CTGGTGAATGTAGCTGTCCTGCTGAAAGAAGAATTTCACACTGGAATCTCTTACACAGATGTGCATAATCTCTCAGCACAACACTAGCAGTAGTGTCCTAAAGATACCTTACTGTTTCTTTCCTGTGCCTGTTTTTTCCCATGCAGATAAGAAAGGAAGCCATGTAGCACAGCCCTGATAACACTGGAATCGTGCAGTCCGTGCTTTAGTGCGAGAGGTCCCCTGCTGCACTCACAGCTCCTCACTCCGYGCCTCATTCTGTTCTTCCTCCTTCTCCACTCAGGTACTTAAAGCTATTTTCTTAAAAAATTCCCACTGTTTTTTGGGGTCTTTGATTTCAAATGCCTGGCTTGATACACATTGACCCCGATCTTCCCAAGTGCTGACGATCAATAACAGCTCCTCACAGAGTTTGGGGAACTGACCGTACTCAGCACCTTCCTAAACCTAGTTTACATTTTCTTCAGGGAAATGAGCAAGAGCGTATCCAGCATGCGGTCCATTCTGCCCTCTTTGCTCCTCCAACTGCTCATTTAGATAGACCTTTTGGTTTTCTGTGCATTTATCATTCTTTCCTCTGAGTTTCCAAATTTCTCCAGGGGAAAAAATTCCAGGAAATGGCAGTTACCTTTTTCCCCTGTAACTTTCCTTTTCATTTCTCTCCTCTTCTTAGCTATCACTTGCTTTATTTTCACCAGAAAAAACCTGAAAGGCGCATGTCAGTGACAACAGCACCATCTTCTGTTCCACAGGGATCATGAAGACTTCACTCTTGTAGTGGTTCAGAGATGAGTCTAAATGAAAAATCTGGATCTGAACCAACTCTTCATGAGTTTTAATGTCTGAACAACTCTGAATGTATTTGGGGAAGTATGTGTGTATGAAAGGCAACGAAGGGTTCTCATAGCACTTCTCTCTGCGAGACACCTTTACATTTGTCTTTTCATCCTTCTCCCCATAAAAGTCCAGTTGCAAACCTTAGGCTCCTTTTTTCTTTTCTTCCCTGTGGCTTGACATATTGACAGTTTCTGGGTTTGCTTATTTATTTATTTATCTATCACAATTAGTGCTATCCTTACTCTCTACCGATAGTATTGTACTAATGGTCCCTGGGGAAAATATGCAGCCTCAACAGAAGACTAAATACACACTGACTGATCAGATGATCAGTTCACATAGAAGGCCATAGACCACACAAGGTCATAGACCACGTGCTGCCTAAAATTTGTGTCACTGTGACAACAAAGGGTTGTTTGGGGTATAATAGAGGAAAATGAGGTGGGAGTAGCACAAGATAAATATTAAATCTTACTTGAAAGACTAATATATGGACAGTTCAAACCGGCAACATGGGTAGGTCATTGTGAAGGCAGTGTCCTGGTATTAGATAAGAGGATGAGGAAAGACAGACTAATGGGTCTGGGAAACGGAAAGGGAAAAGGAACAGCATGTGTTTGATGTGGCACAGAAGAGGGGACCGACAGAGGGACATAAAGGGAGAGGTGGCAAGGTCAAAACATCAGGTTAAGAAACAGATCTTCACAACAGCAAGATCTAATTAGGGTAAGATTGCTTTTGTCAAGCCAGGAAAGGGAATGGGGATGTGATACACCAACAGGTTCAGACAATAATTTTAAGTATGTGGGTAGATAGGAATGTGCCTGTTTTGGGGCTACGTAAACGGTTTGTCTTTCACAATAAGGTTTGGGGATAGAAACATGGTGCTGGTTACTCACAGGGAGCTTGTGAGCAGTCACAGCTGATATACTGTAATAACAGTAGACAGTATAGTCAAGTTGGGATATATGAATCAGACTGGTATGCAAACTCCAGGCTCACAGTCCATGAGTAGCAAGCTCAGAAATGGAAGGGAGGAGGAAGAGACAGTGATGGCTGAAGGGATTAGCTGGAGGGATAAGCTGAATCTCATTTTAAAATGATGAAGATTAATATATGCTTGCATTGTGATGTGAAAGAGCCAGAAGAATCATTTGTGGGGGTGGGGCTGGGGAGGCAAATGAAACAAGTGCTAGAGGATCAGGAGATAACAGCACAATCACCTTGTGGGAATGGTCATGACCAGCTTTCCTGGCTGCATATCAATGATTTCCTCTTTCAGTCGGAAAAATTTCAAGTTATTTCAGCCTTTGATCTAGGCCATATGCTGAGTTTGGAGAGGACCTGGAGAGGTGGGGGAATACAGGACACCTTGCAAATAGGAGTGCAGAGTACATGACAGATTGGTGGGTGTGGGACGTTCTGAGTGATGAGGCTGGTGCAGCAAACCCAGGCTGAAAGGGTTTTGGGATCCTAAAGGTGGCTGCAGCTGGCAGGCTGGGGGCCTGCGAGCAGGGTTGGCTTAGGAAGAAGGCAGGAAGCTTGGAAAATGGAGAAAACAGAACAGGACATGATCTTTGGTGAGGTAGGGGTATGTGTTGGAACTGCAGTGCTGAAAAGCACAATTTAGGGTCCTAGCATGAAGACCTTTAACAGCTATGGTATGAAGGTGTGAACTGTATGGTTCTTGAGATCTAAAAATTACAAAATGTTTGCTCATTGTCTCTCAACTCCACACCCACCTTTCTGGCTTGTTTTTGTTTGTTCGTTTTGTTTTGTTGTTCCATCAGAAGCTCCCCAAGCTTGATCTCCCTTTTTGTCTAATAAGACAACCTACAGTGGAACAGTTCAAATTTAAATGCTGCTGTTTAACTTGGTGTAATGAGACTTTAGATTTGGTATCCCACTGTAATAAAAATAAAGGCAAAGCAGAATTCAGATAATAATGGAGAAATAGCACAAAACATAGTATATTTTATTCTATTTTGATTACTAGTTGTTATGCAGATCTTTAACACTTCATTTAGTTATGTCTTACAAATGTCAGGAAGGGAAGAGTAAAACTATAATGAGAAGGGATAACCTACTAAGCACAGTTTCAAGCCTGACAAATGAAACTCCCCCCCCAATTCATCAGACTGCATGCTATGAGTGGAAATGAAAAAATTACTAAATAGTAAATAGATAATCAAAATATATTATGGCATGGAAGAGAATTCAACTGCAAGGATCCTATTTACTAAGGTACACCACAATAATTGCTTGTATGAAACATGTTTCTGTGTGTGTAAAACAAAATACTACATTTTACTTTACATTTGACTAAAATGTATCATTTGAACTGTTTTCTTMAGCTTTTACTAGATTTTGTAATTTATGTGTAACAAAAGATAAGCAAGAGCAGTAAGGCACATGGAAACCATGTTAGCTAGTAGGTTTAAAATAATTCATTTTCACCTTCTTTTTCCCAAATATGTTGCATATGCAGTCACATTATAGGCTCTATTCTAGTAAGAACATTCACTTTGCAATCAGTAGACTCTCAAAGATAAAAAATTTCTAAAATCTTTCGGGGAAAATGGACAGCCAAGAAAAGGAGAGACTCCATGTGATTTGGAGAGGTGTGATTAGGTGGAACCTCACTTGGAAAACTTGGAGTAAGCCTTTCTTCTTCCTTAGACTCTAAGCAACAACAGCTTAGCCAAGGTAATGCCCATACCCTTTGGAAACCATGTTGTATCCATGTTGCTGGGCAGAGAATATGCCATTCATCACTTTCACAGGAACAGAAGGTCCCAGGTTTGCCTTTTTTATGAACACATCTCCTGGGAGAGTAGTTTGCCACCACTTTTGGCGTGCCTATCTCCATATTTTTATTCATGGAATTGCAATCTTGCGTGGTGACTTTACACTTGCTGGAAATCAGCTTGATTTTCTGAGTTAGGCTGCACTGTACACTGAACTGCACAGGGAATGGTCTCTGGCCACAGTGCTGGTGGCCTGGACCTTTCTAACAAGCCAACAGCAGAGTCAATAATCGGGAATGCCTCTGTCCCCAGGCAGACACAAGACATTCGGGCAAATTTCAGGTATGCCGTATGAGAACAGTGACTGGTTTCAGCAACTTCTTTTGGCATAAATAGTTAGAATATGACAGGTGGAGAAACTGAGCATTTTGTGTGTTATTGCTGCCTGATCTTGTGTTGTAATGTGCATGAAGAGTAGAGTCTCTAYGGCACATAAGGAAGGAACTTCACCTACTCAAAGCGAGACGCTCGCAGCTGGGGTATCTCTGTTAGACCTCCCGTGCTGGSCCCATAAGAGCAGGGGTCCAGCTTGTGCTTAGCAACCACCACGACTGGGAACAACTCATGCAGGCGGGTTATGACCAAAAACGAAGAATATTTTAAACATAACATACAGCCAAAGCAGTCAGTCACGCCATTTTTTCGCCTCCCATCGCCCCTCGTGGGCCCCGCCCGCCCCCGCTTGCGCAGCCGCCGCTCCTCCTCCGCTCCCCCCGCGCGATGGAGGTGGTGCTGGCGGACGCGCTGCTGTCCCGCTGCGGGGACCGCGCCGCGCTGCTGCGGGCGCTCAGCGCGCCGCTCTCCGCCGAGCGGGCGGAGGCGCT